GAGAGAGAGAGAGAGAGAGAGAGAGAGAGAATCAATATAATAAAAGGATCATCTTTAGATATTCTTCATCAAGGCAGGCTGGTGCAGGATGCAAACCAGCAGTAATGCCGGCAGCAACCCACCCCTGGTCTTCAAGGCACCTCCAAGTCTTGCTTCCAGAGGAAAGAGAGGGCCCTTTGGTCAAGCAAAGCCTGAGGGTCAGCTCACCTGAACATAACTGCGCTCGATGGATGCCCTGTTCCCTGAAAAGATGTACACGGCTCCTGCGTTCTCGTCTTCCAAGGGAGCCCCAATGGCTACATCTGTCCATTTATCCCCAGTGATGTCGCCCACTTCTGCAATGCTGGCCCCAAAACGACCAAACAGATGTCCTGGCTCTCCTTTCAAAGCTGTGTTGCTGTCTGTACAGGAAAAACCTTCATTCTGCAAAACGTAAGAAAAATATGCTGGAATTCAGATGGATTTCTCAGAGGGCAACCCCCCAATATAGTTTTTGAAAAAAAATCCTATTACTTTTATACTACTTCAGTTGTTGTTGTTGTTAGTTGCAAAGTAGTGTCTGACCCATTGCAATCCCATGGACCACGTTCCTCCAGGCTTTCCTGTCCTCTACCATTCCCTGGAGTTCATTTAAGCTCACCCCAACTGCTTTGGTGACTCCATCCAGCCACCTCATTCTCTGTCGTCCCCTTCTTCTTTTGCCCTCCTTCTTTCCCAGCATTAGGCTCTTCTCCAGTGAGTCCTTCTTTCTCATTAGGTGGCCAAAGTATTTGAGTTTCATCTACAGGATCTGGCCTTCTAAAGAACAGTCAGGGCGGATATCCTCCATGACTGGCCGGTTGGAATGCCTTTCAGTCCAAGGGACTCACAGGAGTCGTCTCCAGCACCAGAGTTCAAAGGCCTCAATTCTTTGTCGCTCAGCCTTTCTTATGGTCCAACTTTCACATCCATACATTGCAACTTGGAAAGCCATAGCCTTGACTATATGCACTTTTGTTGGCAGGGTGATGTCTCTGCTTTTTAGTATGCTGCCTAGATTTGCCATAGCTTTCCTCCCCGGGAGCAAGCGGAAAGCTTGTTCCTACTTCAGTACATTTTTACATATTTACATTAGGATACAATTTTATTCCATCGTGGACTGTCATAATTCCCCAAGGAATCCCCAAGGAATTCTGGGACTTGTAGTTTAGTGAAAGTTCTGAACACCTGCCTTTCCTTTAATTGCATAAGTCATTATTACTAGAATTCTCCAGAGAGAATAAATGTGCTTCCCAACCCATTTGGGGTCAAGGGCATAAATGGATCCTCAGTATTTCACATCTCCTGACATATACACAGGGTTTTTTTCCCTCCATCTCTTTCCTTCAAGATAGAACCTCTGTTTAAAACAGTGTTTTCCTCAGAAGCAACAAGTAGAAGATTCCATTGCCAAATTAAAATGTTTACGTCAAGTGTCACACACATTTCCAATATTTGTTGCTGTATTGGAGATCAGCCTTCAAAAAATATCGAGAAATATTGGTACTTCTCAACATACCATGGTAAAGGAGCTTGCCCATTAATGGTCATAAGTCGTGACAGTTGAAAAATGGGTTACTCATGTCACCGGCCTGATTTTATGACTCTTTTTTTTTTTGCAGTGGCTGTTAAGCAAGTGCGACAGATGTCAATTGTTTGCCATGGACCAGTTTTGCCAAAAAATCAGAAGAAAATGACAGGTTTTGGCAAAGGTGTGTTAAAGATGGCCATGTGACTAGAAGATGCTACAGAGAGTTGTGAATGCAAGCTGGTTGCTGATCACCCAAATGCAGGCCAGAACTTCAGAATCAGGTCACAAATAACCTGGGAAGGTCCATTGAATCTTCAAATAATCGTGAGTTGTAAATTGAGGACTAGCTGTAATAAAAGTAACAGTTTTTCCTCAATTTTTCCTCCCCCTGATTTACAGTGTACACCTGGCAATTTTGAGCAGATGCTGGAAATTATAGAAACTCTAGAGCTGCCCATCTTCAACTATCGTTTATCCGTGTTTCATAAACCCAGAAGTTTCTTACCTTAAAAAGACAGATGTGAACCCTTCCTCCTGCAGTGGCATCATAGTACATGGGAGCTCCAATCAGAACTAAATCTGTGCTTGTGTCTTGATTGAGGTCCACTGAGCATAGAGTTGCTCCAAAGTAAGAACCAACCTATTGCATCAAATAACCATCTCTTAATTTCATTCTACTTTAAAAAAAGAAAAATGGAGCAAGGCCATTATTTGCATGTTTCATGTTCTAATTGCAGCAGCAGAGATGTTACCGCTGGGTGCAAGAAGTATTATGTTTTTGAAGAGTCTAATATTTAAGCCTTCAACAATATGTTGTGAAGGATGCGGGCAATAAAGGAAAAAGGTATTTTCAGATATTTAATGCCCTTCTCCTTAGTTCTTTTCAACCCTGCAAGATCAACTGTATTAACAATTGGCAGCTGAACTGATTTGTTTCTGGCAGCTCAACCAAAACCAAAGGGAAGATTTGTTTATCTTTCAGCTATGAAGCCTTCTACAAAGCTGTGAAAAGTTCCTTTTGCCATCAGCAGGAATTCTCAGGGATTAACCAGCAGAAGGGACCAAAATTTCAATCTGGGGCCTAAAATTAAGTATTTTGTAGCCTGGCAGATCCTGGTATTTTGGGATTGCCAGTCCCATCATCTCATCTTTATTGAAATTATGGAACTTTTATATCAACACAGGAGACATGTCAGGAAGATTTATATATAGATTGACAGGTGCACTTCATAATAACATCTGAACATTGTCAGCTGCCTCTGAACTCTGATCCACTCTCAGTCCATTGGGGGGCTGAGGGAGGGAAAAGATGTAAGATCTGAACCTGAAGATATGCGTGTATATACAGGTAGTCCTCGACTCAGTCATTTCTTGAGTGACCATTCAAAGCTATAACTGCACTGAAAAAAGTGACTTATGACTGTTTTTCACATTTATGACTGTGGCATCATCTCCATCGTCAGGTCCAAATTGGACATTTGGCAATTTGCCTGTATTTGCAGTGTCCTGGGATCATGTGATTACCTTTTATGATCTTCTAACAGGGAAAAGGTGGGAAGCCTGATTCACTTAGCATCCGTGTTACTAATTTAACAAATGCAGTGTTTGTACCAAAGGTGCTTTTTTTCAAGAGGCAACTGGACTTCCTTGTTTTTATTTGAAGATGTTTCACAAGAAGCTATTATAAATCCTTCCATTCCCCACTGTCCAGTCAGAGATGAAGAAGCTTCTTGGATGAGAAGCGATACATCTTCTAAGTAAAACAAAGAAAGCCCATTTGCTTCTTGGAAAAAGCATCTTTGGGACAACCATGGCCTGGATGACTAAGAATCTCCATAAACAAGCGCAGGGATTCACTTAACAATTGTGGTCAGCCTCGCTTAGCATTGGAAACGTCAGGCTCAATTGTCGTCGTAAGTCGAGGGCTATCTGTATGGGACCGTGAACCTTTGCCGAATAGCCCACATTTTTGAGTGATGTTTTTAGGTGGAATCTGATGCCCATCCAGGCTCTCTTCAATTCTTTCGGAGCTCTTTTATCACCGTTCATACCTGTTCCCCGACTGCCTCCATCTTCAGCCGCCATTCCCTACTCAGGGCTTCATTCTCAAAGTAGACGACTTTGCCGATGTGATCATAGCGAGGAGCTCCCACAACCAGACCATTCCTCCCATGGAACCGGACAGGCTGAGAAGAATAGCCTAAAGGGGAAATGAGACAGCTAAAGCCTTAGAATAACTTTATTGTCACTTCCAGTGGTGAGCTTCCTTTATTTTTTTTTTAACTACCGGTTTGCGTGTGCACGTGTCTGCACGTGATGCTTCTGCGCATGTGCAGAAGCATCCAGGCGGCTGGGCGGAGCCTCCTGCCACTGCTACTACCAGTTCACCCAATCCAGGCCGCACTGGGAGCAACACCATGTCTGGTTACTTTGAATGTATACTAACCGGCATACATTAAAATGAAATTTCGTTGCCTACAGTTCTCAAAGGGTCACACCTCCCAATATACACTACATCAGAGGTGTCAAACTCAGGTTCGTGTAGAAGATAATTATCTAAAAATGCAGATAAGGTAGTCCTCGATTTACAACCATTCGTTTAGTGACTGTTTGAAGTTACAACGTCATTGAAAAAAGTGATTTATGACCATTTTTCATGCTTGCAGCATCCTCATGGTCACATGATCAAAATTTGGATTCTTGGCAACTGGCATGTACTTACTACATGCCAGGGTCATGTAATCACCATTTGTAACCTTCCCAGGTGGCTTCCGACAAGCAAAGTCAAGGGGGGTGGGGGTGGGGGAAAGAGATTCACTTAACAACCGCATGAGTCGGTTAACTGCTGCAATCATTAAATTAACAACTGTGGCAAAAAAGTTGTGTGCAATTCTCTTAACAACCACCTTGTTTAGCAACAGATATTCTAGTCCCAATTGTGGCTGCAAATTGAGGATTACCTGTAGTGAACTTGCTTCCTGCCACTGAACTAAATGGAAAATCGTCAACTCTGCTAGAAGAAAGCCTTGCATAGTCCAAAATAACGGGGATAAAAGAGTTTAATTATGATAATTTCAGTAGAATTATTGGAAAGAGGGATAGAACATAATGGAGGGTATGAATTCTGAGTGGTATTTCTTACCAAGATAGGAATTACTCATATCTTTGAAGGTGCTGGAGATATTAATAAATTTTGGATCTCGGTTGCTGGTTTGATACAGAAGTAATCCTCCAGACCAATCATAGGCTCCCACAGCTCCAACGACAGGGCCTAGCTAAATCACAGCAAAAAGTTAGAATAGGACTATAGGATCATCATAGTGCGGGGTGGAAATAATGTCGGACCCACCACAACTTGAACCTTTAAACAAAAACGATCCTTGGCTCTATTTCTTGAGACAGGTATAGTTTATTAGAGATCAAGTGTTTTGCAGTAATGCAAAGCCAGAACTGAAAATTACGTGCCAAAATCCCTAATTCTATTTCGGCAAGATGTTTTAATAACGGTCAGTCTGAGCGCAGTTTGGCATGCAGCCCCCTTCTTCTTCCAGCTGGGTGACCTTGAAGCAGCATCTTGGGGAGGTACAGCCCTTACTTTCGTTTCCCCAAGCGTTCCCAGCTTCATTCCCTCTCCCCACAGTTCATGGCAGTCTGTAGCAGCAGAGCACAAGCAAGCATAAGGTAGCAGTAGACAAATGAAAAGTTAGTTTTAAGAAAAGATTAAGTTCTTACTGTTGCAGGTTGCTACAAATAGATCTTAATTTAGACTGGTGGCTTAGCAAATATTTGTTTGGAGCTATGACAGATCCCGCAAAATGGATTTATGACCTGGATTTGAAGTTCTCATATCCAGGCGCGCGTGCGCGCACACACACACACACGTCCCAATCACATATTTTGGGCAATATATTTGCATTTATGACTGTTTTGCAATGTCTTACAGTCAGGTGACTGCAATTTACAATGTTTTTGTCAGAAACCAGTGTTTATTTCTGGTTTCTGGCAAAAATCAACCCCACAACAAATACCCCATGAGTTCACTTAACGATTGCTGAGTTTGCTTAACAACCATGGCAAAAAAGGTCGTAAAACAGGTCCAGTCACATGGTGATCCATTTAAGAGAGTTATGACGGGCCCAATGTCACCCTTCCATGCCTAAGACAGGACCTGAACGCTCTGTCTCCTATTTTCTAACTTGATGCTTTAACCCTCTAGGCCTGTGACGGCGAACCTTTTTGATCTTGCGTGCCAAAAGCGCATGAGAGAGACACCCAGCGCGTGCATGCCCACACCCATAGTGCAATGTGCATGTGAGACCCCCATGCCCCATCCCCTGCGCATGCATGCACAACTCCATATGCTCCCCCTCCCCCCCCGCACATGTACCCGTGACCAGCCACCTGCATCCTGTTTTGCCTAGCAGGCCTCCCTGAAGCCTCCTGCAACCAAAAACAGGGCACGGAGGTGCGCTGCACCCCTCTCCCATACTCCCCATATCTCCCCCGCATGCACACAACCGGTTCCACCACAAAACTGTGTTCGACTAAACCGCGCTCGACGAAACCGCATAGCTGATGTCATCAACAGCACGACAACAGCGCGGAGACAGAAGCACGCTGTAAACGCTAAACCTAAAATTAACCCCTAAACCTAAACCTAACTCCCCTAAACCTAATCCTAAACCTAACTCCCCTAAACCTAATC